TGCCCTGGCAGAGGCCCCAGGGAATCGCAGCTGGGTGCACGGGGTGGGGGAGCACGAAACACAGGAACCTGGGCCCAGTGCTGGCTTGGAGATGAAACGGTTCTGGGCACTGCAGGCTGCGGGTGCACACAGGTGGGGTCCTGGGAGAGACAGGGCCTGAAGCCCAGAGAGGTCAGGTGGAACTGGAGGAAAGCAGATGGCCACCCACCAGGAAGTGGGGCCTGGAAGGCCTTCTTGTTTATTGCGGGCTTAACGTGATTAGGGAGGGGGTGGGCATGTGGGCTCCTGGGGCTTTATAGCCAGAGTCCAGGGCTGAGGGTGCTGCAGGATGGGATTGAAAGGACCTGATATTGTCCTTCTGTAGAGACAGTGGACTTCCTCCCAAGGTCAGCTGAGGTCAACCTGGACCCCCAGTACAGGGTCCCCTGTTTTATCTTTGTTAAACCGAGAGAAAGTCCCAAGCCTCCTTCCAGCCAAGCTGTTCTATTTCCTGTTTCTCCTGTAATAGACCAGCAGACACCCTCAGAGCCAAGCTGCCTAGAAAGGCAGCTGTCTTTCTACGTCCTCCAGAAAGCCCACCAGGACCACCCTCCTGAGAGCCACTGTTCTGAGCTTCTGAACCACTCACTCCAAAGCACAGGGGCAGATTTCTGTTGTCTCCACCAGACCAGGCATGGCCCAGGCCAGGGCACCACTCTGCCTTCTCAGTTACCGTTATGTGTGTCTGCACGTGGGTTGAGTACTTGACGGCACAGACCAGTCTCACTTGCTCCCTGGGTGTCTTTTCTCATCAGGAAGCCTTGTCGAAGGAAAGCTGCCGATACTGGCATTCTTTTTCCAGATTGGGAACCCCAGCAGGAAGTCTATGTGGCCCTGACTCCTGTCCAGCCCCACATACGGCACATCTGCCAGGGAGCAGAGCAGAAAGTGTGCTGGGTTGGGCTCTGTCTACATTCAACCAACAGGTGAAGTTGGACCTAGGTATAGATCCCCAGCCCTCACAGCCTTCTCAGGGGTCCTGAGCACAGTCAGCCATGGGGCCTGGGGCTTGGAGGCCCAGTCAGTTTACCAGGGATGGAGAGCTGAGAGGAAGCATGCTGTACAGTAAGACCTTGCTTTCATCCGAACTACAGTGTTAAAAAATGACTCTATGACTGGATCTGGATTCCAGAAGCCAAGCGTCTAATTGGCAAATACAGGCTTCATGCCACACTCTCCTCGCTCAATGCTTGCTGAGAATTTACTGCAAACAAGAGTCCACGGTGGGTGTGTGCTATCTTTTCAGTAACTCCTGAGCCAACCATCATTGAGCCCATTTTACACATGAGGAACACTGAAAGGCACATATGTGTTCCACGCAACAGAGAAGAATTTAATTCTGGTTTCTGTTTTCCAGCATCACGCTCTATTGTTTACAACTGGGGTTCCCAGGCTTTTGGAACTAACTCACAGACCAATAATACTTCAAAAACGATTTTTGGGAACAAACACAGAACCTTATGCCAACTTTTTCTTTGGCCAAGGGCAGAGAAAAAAAAAAAAAAAAAAAAACGCATCTCCCAGCATCAGGATTTCACAAAAGGGCATTTGAACATAGAAACTGTGGCAAAGATATAATGTCAGAATAAAGACAGCCTTCTAAGAAAGGGTCAGTTGGCAATGTGACATCGAAACACCCGCCGTTTATCTGTGTGTGCGCGTGTTTCATCTCAAGCAGAACTGGCCAAGATCTTGACACCACAGGGTGTGGGAGCCTGTGCTATCCCGGAGCTGCCTCCCCAAGAAAGAATAATGCCCTCAGCCATAAGCAAATAAACTTCTGGAATTTTCCATCCCTCTGGCTATCTAGATCCCCACCAAATAAGGCCTGAGGCTGATATATAATCAGCTACACTCCCATCCCCACTCTGGTCTTCCAAACCCACTGATATTTACTGTGCCTTCCGGGGAGCCAGGACACCCTTTCCAGCCCATTTCTCTCTTGGGCATTCATTTCCTCTAACTTTGCATTCCGGGGATGCCCAGGCCTCCTGCTCACTCCCCTGGCCCCCCTGGTGCCCAGGGTAGTGGGTCTCCTCCTACTCCCAAGTTGGTGCTTTCCCCTTGCTCTTTAAACCCTTCCTACACCTCCGCCTGCCCCCTCCCCACACATGGGAGCTAGACAGGAGGTAGGGCAGAGCCTGACCTGGGGAGCCCATGGCTGGAATTCCAGCCCCACCACCTTCTTGCTGCAGAGAATTTGGCAAGTTACTTAACCTCTTTTGTGTGTGAGTTCTCTCATTTGTACAGAAGTAAGAATGTTAGGTTAAGCCATGTGAAACAGCCAAAATGTGAGGGGCACAACAAAATGACAATTTCTTGTGGTTGAACAAATCAGGTGTAAACCCTTAAGTGTTGGCTCCATGTCGCTAAGTGTGACCTCCTCCTCCAGGAAGCTCTCCCTAATACCCCAAGCTCAGCTCCATCCTCCAGTCCTCAGTGTGAGTGTGCCCTCCCCACATAGTGGAACCCACCAAAGGTAAGACCAGGGCACCTTCTCCTCCCAGACTACTCCCAGCCTGGGCCCTGTCTCCCAGACGGCTAGCACCCCGACAGTCTCCTTTACCATTTTACAGGAGGGAGACAGGAAAGGCCTGGCCCCAACAGGGGTCCCATGGGCCTGACTTATCTAGCGGACATTTCTGTAGCCGAAGTTGGTTCTAGATGATTGTGAACAGGTGATGTGACCAAATGAGGCCAAGTGGAACAGTAGAGGGGGAAGGATGGGGAGGCCCCTGACTGGCCAGCCGGTGGCAGCAGAATCAGAATCTTTACCCAGAGCTCCCCACCCCCATGAGCTATCTTCCATGATCTCTCACTCACTGGTAGAATTGGCACTTATTGATCTGGTCTTTGTCCACCCTTGCATTGCTGCCAAAGTCCCTGCTGTGAGTCAGACTTGCAGGGAGCTCACTCTAGGAGGGGACATGGACTGTGCCATCGTCAGGGCTGGGAGCTCCTGGGCTGTGGACTCTCAAAGGAGGACATGATCAAATCTAGGTGGTCAGGAGAGGGTTCCTCAGGAGAAAACGTCAGGTCACAGTCCCTAGGAAGCCAGTGTGGGCCACCTGCCAAAAGCTGGGTTAGGACAAAGAAGCCAGAGAGAGTGAGCAGAGGGAGGTAGGTGGTCTTCCCATTGCAGCTGGAGCACTAGGGCAGGCCTGCTCCCAGCTAGTTAAGAATGCTTCTTCTCAAGGAGACCCAAGGACACTCAGGGATTAGGCCTCTCAGCATCAGTGCGGAGAACTGTCAGCCCAGAGCTGCTCAAAAGTAGAAATGCCAGCCACCGGTGATGTCACCACCCAAGTCATTCCCTCCCCCACCCCAGGTCCTGTAGTCTGGCGACAGACCAGAACAGCCCCTGCCAGGCGCCCACCTTCCACCCCTGCATCCTGCCTCTAGGATTCCTGTTTCCGATGAAGAATGGGGGAGGCACTCCTAAGGAGTTAAGAATTCGAATGTAAAAGTTATTTGAAGAAAAACTTCACGCTGTTCTTCAGAGTGCGGGGATCTTTTTTGCCTCACTCCCAGCCTCACATTGCTGAGGATCCAAGTCAGCACGAACCCTCTCCAACCTCCCTAGGCCACTTCCTTCTCTCGGAGACCGTTTCTATTTCCCTGAGCCCACTTCTGAGCTCATCTGTGGTGTCGGCTGTCTCGGGGTGCTGGAGAGTACACCTATACTTCAGGTTAAGCAAGTGGGGTTTGTCCTTCAGGCTGGACACTGCACACGGGGCGAGAGGACACCTAGCTGGCCTAGAGAGGGCGGGCAACAGACCTGCAGGGGCGGTGCGGCTACTGGGTGGAGCTGAAAACCCCCTAGCTCAGGTCCACACAGCAGGTGTCTTCACTGTACAGGACCATGAGAAGGGTGTCTAAAGCCAGCCGCGAGTGACAGGTCCCTGAGGGGCCCCGCACACCGGCTCTGGGCGGCAGCCTGCTCCTGGGGGAACCCCACTTTGGATCGGATGCGCCCTGCAAGCGGTGCGTGGGGTGACTGGGTGCTGGCTGCTGCTAGAGTATTTCCTCGAAGTCCTACCTCGAAGGGCTGGGTTCCATCCGCGCGCTCTGTGCGGGGTGCCGCACACCCCACTCGCCCGGGGAAAGACTGGCGCAGAGCTCGCCCCCTACCCGAGCCCTGGGAAAACCCCGGGAGCCGCCCTGGCGCCGCGCGTTTCCCGGAAACCCCCTCTCCAGGCGCGTTGCGGGAACGCACGGCTCCGCATCCACGCGTGCCACGCCTCCCGGAGGGCTGGGGACCCCGGCGAGGAGAAGCGGAGCGGCGCGGACGCCGGAGTCCAGAGCTCAGAGCGGCAGCCGAGGACCCCGCCCGGCAACTGGAGGTGGGGAATCCGCCACTCAAGCCTCAACGCCCCAGGCTTGGGGGCGTCCCCAGCCTTGGGTCGAGAAAGCCGTTTGAGGGCGCAGGTTTGAGGCCGGAATCCACCTCTGCCCTTAAGGTCTGGCGAGGGTCCAACCTTCGCCCCAGGTCGGGCCCGCCCCCCCCCCCGCCCTTTCCCTCCACCCCCCTCGCGGCCCCCAGCCGTAGCCGCTGCCCCTTTAAGAAGCCCAGGTAGGCAGGCCGGGCCTGGGAGCGGCTCCTATGGCAACCCGCGAGCCGCGTTGGCTTCATGAATATTCTGGGGCGCGGGAGCCCGGGCGCGGCCGGAGGGCGCTCCGGGGGAGGCGGCCGCTGATGTAAACCTGGCGGGCCACTGGCTCCGCTTGGCTGCGGCGGGAGCACCGGGCCTGGCCAGCGGGTACCGCGGTTCGGCTAGGCGCACGGGCAACCCAGCCGCCTCGGGACGCGCGGGGAGACGCGCGCTGTGCGCCCCGCGCGCGAAGCGGAGCCCACGCCGCGGACGCAGCGCCCATTGTTCCCGCGGGGGCGGGGCGCCTGGAGCCCGGCCGCGCCGCGCCCCGATCGCGGGGGGGAGCGCGCGGGGGGAGCGCGGGGTCCCTGCGCCCGGCCGGCTCCGAGGAGGCGCAGCGCGGCGAACGGGGCGCGCGAGCATGGGCTCTTGAGCGGCCCGCGCGCGGCGGAGGACGCGAACCCACGGGCGGGCGGAGTGGCCCCGACCCGGCCGCGGGCACCATGGACAAGCTGCCGCCGTCCATGCGCAAGCGGCTCTACAGCCTCCCGCAGCAGGTGGGGGCCAAGGCGTGGATCATGGACGAGGAGGAGGACGCCGAGGACGAGGGCTCCGGGGGCCGTCAGGACCCGCGCCGCAGGAGCATCCGGCTGCGGCCACTGCCCTCGCCTTCGCCCTCGGCGGCCGCGGAGCCCCGGGGCGCGGCCCTCGGGGCGGCGGACAGCGACGCGCCGGCCCGCAGCGCGGCCAAGTCCAGCACGAACGGCGACTGCAGGCGCTTCCGCGGGAGCCTGGCCTCGCTGGGCAGCCGGGGCGGCGGCGGGGCGGGGGGCGGAGGCAGCCACGGTCACCTGCATGACTCCGCCGAGGAGCGGCGGCTCATCGCTGAGGGTGACGCGTCCCCCGGCGAGGACAGGACGCCCCCTGGCCTGGCGGCCGAACCTGAGCGCCCAGGCGCCACGGCGCAGCCCGCAGCCTCCCCACCACCCGCCCAGCACTCAGGCTCGGCTTCCCGCGAGCAACCCGCGGCGGACACCGCGATCAAAGTGGAGGGAGGCGCGGCCGCCAGCGACCAGATCCTCCCGGAGGCCGAGGTGCGCCTGGGCCAGGCCGGCTTCATGCAGCGCCAGTTCGGGGCCATGCTCCAGCCTGGGGTCAACAAATTCTCCCTAAGGATGTTCGGCAGCCAAAAAGCCGTGGAGCGTGAGCAAGAGAGGGTGAAATCTGCTGGATTCTGGATTATCCACCCCTACAGCGACTTCAGGTAAGAGGCCCGTGGGGATCCTTTGGATTCCTTGTTTGGTGGCAGGCAAGCTCCTCTCCTGGCCCTGCCTCCCAGCCGGAGTTAACTTTCCTTTCTTGCACTGGGAGCTCCAAGAGAAGCCAGGCTCCTCTAGACTCTTAAGACACCCCCAGACTTCCTCCTGCACCGCAATGGGAACTTTCTAGTGTTCTGGCTTCTGGCTTCTCTCTTTGCGGTCAGGGCCGCATTAGAGTCAGACTGAAAAGGTGTTTCGAGCCTGGCCTAGCCTTCTATGCAGCCAGACTAGAACTCTGCTGCCTGGAGCCACACGTTCCACCTCCCCCTGAGGGCTACAGAGTCAAGGTGGTCATCCCAGAGAGCCCAAGTCAGTGGCCCTGCAGAGCAGGGCCATGAAGGAGGCGCACCTTTCAGTAGTTGAGCCGGCTCTTGGATGCTGACTGCAGGCATTAATAGCTTTGGGCACTGGCACCCTGGGAAGCTGCAGCCAGGCACCTGGAGGACTGAGGTCCCTGGGGCCTTGGGACTAGGATAAAAGTCCTCTGTACCCACTAGCCCTGGGCCCAGCCCCTCATGCTGACAAGCAGACCAGCAGCAGACTCCCTGGGCAGCCTGCTCCCAGACCAGGCGGGAGAATGACCTTGCCCGAAGTGGTCAGCTAAGATGCCTGGTGTCCTGCCTGATGTGCCGCCACCCTGTGACCCTCCCCCAGTTCAGTTCAGGACCCCATTCCCACCCAAATGACCCAAGTTCTAGCAGCTACTGGGCCTCTTGAGAGTCTGTTTTGGGTCCGAAGACAAAAGGGGTGACTACCGCTCAGGGAGAGGGACCCTGCTCCTTCCAGCATCACTGGAGTCAGATGCTACTCTGAGTCTGTTGACAAAGCTGTGTAGAGTGGGATCCTTGGTTGTCCCTGGGGTGGGGACAGGGCTTACCCTAGTCAAGGTCTTGAGGTCCCCCAGTACCCATCCAGGTGTCCCTCCCACACCAGTTGAGGTGGAGGCCTGGGAAGCATCCATTTCTTCCAGCTGGGTCTCATTCTCCCTTTTCTGGCTCTGCCCCCTGCTCGGCTCCTTTGCCTGCCTGTATAAATGAGCATGGTGCCAGCCCAGAGCCCTCTTTGCAAACTCCAGGGAAGCTGGATTTGTAATGAGAGCAAAGCCATTTTCCATCCAATGAGAGAGGTTTCCTCGGCTGGGAATGACCAGTCAGATAGCACTCGATGGCTTAAAATAGGAGGTGAATAGAGGCCCCTTTCTTTTTTCTTTACTTTTTTTTTCCTTTTGAGGTACTGATCTTTCTACCCTAAGATCCAGATTTCCCATTCCCAGAGGGCAAGGAGGCCACAGGGCAGGCTTCATGGAGTATAGCCATCATAATGGTGTGAGCTGATATGGGTTTCTTCCCTCAGGGAGGGTGGGTGGGCTCCTAGTGCCAGGTTCCTGAAGAGTGAACTCTCCTTGGCCAGGACTGGGATTTAAGGATCCCGGATGAGCTTGGGAGTAGACAGGCACCCTGTCTCCTCCACCCTGAGTGTCCTGGGCACCTCCTCCTGCTGAACTCCTCAGTGACGGTGACAGGCCATTCCACAATCAGCCACTTGAGATTGTTGAGGGTCCCCCTCCCTTGCTCTCCTCCCACCCCTGTTATAGGAAAGCTTCTGTCCAGGGTTCTTGTCACCAAGCCCAGTGCCAGCCCCAAGTGTGCCCAGCCTCCATGAACAACAAAGCCTGCTGGAGGACCTTCTGCACGCTGGGCCTTCCCTCCCGGCCTCCCTTACCTCAGATGGTGAGGAGCCAGGACATGGTAGGTTCCACCCATGGGTCTTACCTGGGTCTGCCTGATGTGTCTGTCTGTGGTGCCCCTGCTGCAGAGCCTCCCACTGTCCGTCCACTCACTGCAAGCTGCCTGGGTCTTGGCCTTGGAAGGGGACGGTGGGGAGGAGGAGAGGGTGAATGTAGAACTGATAAATGGACAGCAGGAAAATGGTCCAACTGGATTGGATTTGGGTTTGTACAACAAACAGCAGGGATGGGTGGCTGGAAGTGCACACCCTTGTCGCTGCCTGAAGCTGGGTCTGGCAGAAGGGAAGAAATCCAAGAAAGACATCTGTGTGCGCCTGCATGTGTGTGTACTTATGCATAAGTGTGTGTTTTGGGAGGGGTGGTGGTCATGCCTCTAGGCCAGAATTGCTAGTTCCGTCTTTAGAAGGTAGAAGAGGCATGGGCCCAGCTAAGTCTGCTAAGCTTAGAAAACCCACCACTCAACCCATTCTAACTCATGTCTCCTGTACCCAGCACCCCATGCTTTGGTCCCTAGAGTTTCAGCCCCTGGTCTTAGGCCTCTTTGTGGAGCCAACGATCATTTTCCACCTCTAGCTCCACCAGAGCCTCTGCAAACATTACCCAGGCCAATTCAGGATTTAGTCAGCATTTTGATGGGCAGGAAGCATTGATCCAGCAGAATTGATTTAATAAAGAATCACCAGCAAACCAGGATAGATAAAGTGTGTGGTTTGGAGTTCAGGGCTGGATGTGGTGGGCTGCTTCTGGCCTTTCCTTCCCTGGGAAAGGAAAGCTGGATATCTTTTCTAGGGCTGGGCTGGGCTTACCTGAGTGGTCGGGGTCCTGCAGTAGCTGGGACATGTCTGATGATGGGCTTTTCTTGGAAGCGTCTACTTTGTGTCACTGTTCCACTCCCCCTGGGCCATGCCCTAGGTCTCACAAGGCTCTTCTAGTCTATGTGGGCTTGTCTGGCCTCCCCTCCCCTCCAACTCCCCATTTACATTTTGAACCTTGTCTTTATGGTTTGTGAAGGGAAGAAGTCACTTGGGGCTGCCCTTCTGCACACTGCTCCCCAGGTCTTGCTCAGCCCTGGCTGGGTTCTTGGTCTCCAGTGGGTTCTTCCTTCCATGGGAGCCATGTGCTGTAGCCAAGGCTTGGTGATGGGAACCTACAGCACAGCGGCTAGACAATCTGGGTTTTCGATGAGGAAAGAAAGGGAGTGGGGACCAGGAGGGAAGTTGTAGCTGGCTTTGTTCAGCCTTTCCAACACCAGGCTCAGGGAGTCAGCCCAGGCATGTGATGGTAGGTGTCTGAGCAGGTGTCTCAGGGCTATGTGGGCGGACATGGAGCTGGCAGAGCAGGCCCTATGTGGAATGTCTGGGGCTACTGGCAGGGTCCAGGCACCAGCTCATCCTTGGTCATGGAGACAGACAGGTGGACAGACATGGGAACCTTCCACACATCCCTGCCTCTTACCACCCCTCTCATAAGCCCCCCAAGACTGTGTGGAAGGGAAAGGAAGGAAGCCCTTAAAGCATCCTTTCCTTGGGGTACATTGAGCTGGGCTCTGACACCAGTCTAGGTCTAGTAGTTTCTGGGTTGCCTGAGCTGACTTCCTGGTGGTCACTGCACCCAGACATTGCCATTTCTCACCTTCTGTCACCTCCTGGTCCTGTCTCCTACGAGGCCTTGTTTGGATTCGAGCCTCCCTGAACCTCCTTGGGAATGCTATTGCCATTTCTGTTTCTGATGCAGATTGTAGAACAACGGACACTCTGTGACCATCACTGTCAAAGGCTCAGGGATGCTGTTATGGCCACACCTTTGTGTCTCCTTCCCTCCTGGGTTGATCACATGGCCTCTTTTCCTGGTTTTGGCCTAGGGATTGTGTGTGTGTGTGTGTGTGTGTGTGTGTGTGTGAGTGTGTGTGTGTGTGTGTGTGTGTGTGTGTGTGTGCTGGGAATCAAACTCAGGGCACCGCCCTTGCCAGGAAATGCAGTGCTTCTGAGCTATATCCCTAGCCCCTGGCCTGGGATTTTGAGCCTGCTTGGGGTCTGAGACCTCTCTGAGAACCTGCTGGACGCTATGGAGTCTGTATGCAAAATAATAAGCATCAATAAATAAACGAATATGCAATGTGACACTCAGTGTGCAGTGTCTATGGCTCCCTTAAATTGAGGACCATTTGGGGGCTGAATTTGGGGACCCCACTGCAGGACACCCTCAAAGAAGGTCTGGGCCTGGTAGGAAGGAGGCAGGTGCTATCCTTCCCTGGAATGTGGTATGTGTGGCCCCTCTATGTCTGGGGCTCCAGCTACCCACAGCTGGTAGAATGGAAATGAAATCAGAGGTCAGAGTTAGATGCCTGGAGAAGAAACAGAGATCTGTTTGGAAACCAGTTTCAGCCTTCCTGGGAGCCATTGCCCTGGAACATTACTGCTAACAGCGTGGAAAGCGGGCCAAAAGGAGCTGTAGCCCTGGGCATCAGGGAAGGTGGGGCGCTGTGGTACAAAGGGGAATCCCAAGGTGAGCTGCCTGGGCACAGAGAGTTCTCTAGCATGAGGCTGGGTTGGTGTAACTCAGGTGCAGTGCTCCCAGGAGGCCGGCAGATAGAAAGCATGGGGCAGATGACAGGATCCTCTGGGTGGAGGCCTGGGCTCCAGGTTCTCCCTGGTCTGGTGGCCACATGGCAAGGTTGAGGCCTGCCTTCTCCCTGGCCTGCCCGGCCCTCTTTGCTCCCTGAGTGCTGAGAACCACAAGGCTTTCACACCATTGAGTAGCCTCATGCAGTGAACTTTGACAGCATGGTTCTGTCCACCTGCCCATCAGCTTTCCTCTCCCCTGCTTTAGGCTCTGCATTCCTGGGTTTTCTGCAATCCCCTCATGGGTCACTCAGCCACCCTCCCTCTTCTTTCTTGGCCACTTTGTGGCATTTGGATGAGCTCTGTGTTTGTTGTAGTACAGCTTCTCACTGTAATGTCATTCCGCTTACCTGGGGGTCTTGTCAAAATACAGAGTATGATTCAGTAGCTCTGGGCTGGGGTCTGAGATTCTGCACATGGAATGAGCCCCCAAGTGCTGTTGCCGCTGACCATGCTGCCCTAACTAGGACCAGGCTTGAAATACAGAGTTCCTGGCTTGACTCACTGGAGAGCACGCCCTCTTGTTTTTGTCTCCTTCGCCTGAGCCCTGCGCCTCCAGCACTATGGTCACTCAGGC